GGTAGGTAATGACCATAAAACAAGTTTAAACCAATCGGTGAATATCTATTTGATTAAGCTTTAACTACATGATAATTGATGCTAATTTCATTATAATATCAACAATAATAAAACTGACAAATATCTGGGTTACATCTATAGGCCGAACCATTGATATAGATTTGTACTTGACTCACTGTGACAATAATGGTTCATTTACTATTTAAATCTTGTGTATAACTAAAATTAGAATTGCCAAGTTTCTGCGCCGATGCGTTTGTTGCACTTATATAACCGCAGATTCTGAAAAATTTTTCATTGGTGATTACATTAGCATTGAGGAAACTAACTTCCAAAGCGCAGCAAAAGATAAAATTGACAGCCGATACGATTATTGTATTTAAAAGGGAAAGAAACATTCGTTTCGAATTTAATTACAACAAAAAAATTTACTGTATATATTATAAATTTCTAGAATTAACATTTAATTTTTTTATTATGACCAACGAAGAAATTGAAGTTTTACAAACAATTTACACTCATGATTTTACAATTTCAAACACAAATCCTAGATGGTATGGAGTAATGGTTGCTACTGGTGATTCATACCAACATGAAAACGACGAAAGTATAGAACAACAATATGTTCATGTATTATTTCACGAACCACCTGGATATCCTTCTGTGCCTGTCGAAGTTCGCATTGCTACACCTGTGCTAATCACGAATTCAAAAGCCTCAAATTCTTTAAATGTAAATGATGGTAACGTTAAAGAAGAATTAGAAATTATATTGAATTTAAAAGCACAAGAGATGGCAAATAATGAGGAATTTGCGATGTATGAAATTGCAGAATTAGCAAGAAATTGGTTATGGGATAATCAACAACTTTCAAATACTTTTAATGTTAGTCATGATTGGTGGGTAGGAGAATTGCCAGATAGAATATTTAATTGGCAAACAAATTCATATTCGCCTTCAAAAATCACGGAACTTCAATTTCGTGTGGAGTTTCAAGTTATTGAAAACATACAAGAAAACTGCAATATCAAAGTTGATGTTGCAAAGGTTAGATCCTTTTTAATGATGAATCTTTGGAATGTTGAAAAGACGATTGAGGCTATTACAAAGAACATAAACGAAAATAATCACGACGCAAATATTAGCATTACGCATGTAGCCACTGATGACGTTGATGAAACAAGTTGTAACATTTGTTTGGACACTTTTTTACCCTGTGAAATGATAACTTTTGTCACATGTAATCACAGAGTGTGTAATGAATGTTTAATTCAATACCTTTCATTAAAAATATCAGAAAATCGGGTGTTTACGATTGAATGTCCCGGTGCTATCAATTGTCCATATTTTGTTGACCCTATAACAATTGGACGATTATTATCACCGAAATTAGTTTATAAATATTATTCTTGTCTTCGTGAATCCTTTAATCAACTTCAACAGCACACAGAAATCACAAAAAAATCTACATCAACCTCTCATTCAACAAAAAAATTTTCCTGGTGCATAAATCCTAAATGTAATCATTCTTTATCTCAACACAGTGCGGATAGTATTGAATTACCAACAATCTTACATTGCAAGGGCTGTACTTCAACTTGGTGTTCCTCATGTGATGTTATGAGTGGACACTGGCCATCATCATGTAAAGATTATGAAACTTACCTTCTTACAAATCATACCATAAAATCTCTTAAAATAAATAAAACCCAAGCTTTTGATGATATTATGACGAAACCATGTCCAAAATGCAAAATTTTGATCTCCAAGAATGGAGGATGCATGCATATGACATGTAGGTTTTGTCAGTACCAATTTTGCTGGGGTTGCTTGGTTGAATGGAGATTAAGGGTCCATGGTAATTTTTACGAATGCGATCAACAAATTGACGGAGTTGAAACATCATTTGAAGTATTTGATATAAATGATATGCAATTTTTACTTGGAATACTTCAGAGAAAATTCAAACAAGATGTAATTATACATTCACAAACGATAAGAAAGGAACAAGTGGATTTGGATATTTTGATTAAACAATATAAAAACGGATTAAATACTAAAAACGTTAGAAAATTGAGGATTTATATAACTAAATTATTGATACAGATTCATTATGTCATAAAATTTGCATCTGTAGGACTTTTTTGTAAATCGGATAAAGATAAAAATGAAGTTAAAAAAGGGATGGAAATTTTACAAAGGTTAGAATTTGGATTGGGAAGTTTAGAAAACGTCAGAGAGCAAATTATTGAAATTGAAAGAGATAATTTTGGACAAGGTAAAAGCAATATATCTAGTATAGTAGAATTTAGTATAGTAGATGAAGAGAAAAGATTTAAGCAATTGGAATGTGAGATTGAACAGTGTAAAGAAAGATTAGAAAATAATATAAAAAACCTTGTAAAATTACTCAATTATTTAGGTTAATAAAAATTTACGTTTCTTTAATTGTTAATATGTAAAATTTTATGATGTTAGGCCATAAAAGACCCTAGTATTATTATTCTTGCTCAAAAACAAAATAAAATGGGCTATAATAAATCATAAGAAAATACAAACTTTAAACAGCTATACTGCAAAATTTTATTAGTACAACTACTTATGTATTTTAAGTGAAAAATGATCCTAATCTTATTTTAAATTGATTTATGTAAAAAAATTTCTTTTGAAAACATTGTCAATTTCGTCCCTTTTTCCAGCACCTAGCCCAAATTATTGTTATATGCTAATGACGTGCGATGCGATTGAGCGAAGCGGAAAACTAGTACGCGCATACTTAGCACGTCGATGACCGAAATTGCGATCAGGTTCAGGTATGGACTCGAAACCATCAAAGTTGGCCAGATCCGACACGGGACAATATGTTTTTATATACATATATACAGCAACTTTATTGTCATAATTTATAATACTATTGACTCTTGACAAACTTTATTGTTAAAAAGTTCTTTATATCCACAGTTAACCACCATTTACCACCATATACCACCATATACCACCATATATAATACGCGTACTTTTTAAATCGAATAACAGTGTTATATATGAGTTTGGATTTCGTAAATGTATTTATAATTAACTGGAGTATCTATAATTATGTATTCTTTTAATATAAATTTAGAGTTTGAATATGCTTGGACGGGATGTCGTTCATAGAGTCCCAGATGTTGTTCCTAAGATCGTTTTTTGTACCGTATTATTTTACTTCTCTGCAATTTTGTGACTGAGTGATCAGCAGTAAGAATTTTGCTTTGGTTTTGTTTTTTTATTTAAGTTTCTTGAAAAATTTTTTTAGCCAAGATATTTAATTGCTTAACTTGTCATAATACATGTAATACCCGATTTCTTTTACCAATTACATTGATATTTCAAGATAATAGAAGTTATTTACATGAGTAATGCCAAGAGAAGGTTTTCTATAAATTTTATATTTTGTAACCATAGGTTACAAATAAATTTTGTCAAAATAAACCTTTTTATAAAAATAAAACTCTGCAATTAAGGTTAGGGTTAGAATGAGGTTGGGGTTGAGAAGGATAAGTTATAGCTTATATCAAAATTTCGCAAAGAATTTTTTTTTTTTTTTTGTGCTAGAACGTAAAAGATATTTCATAGTCAAAATTTTGAGTTATTGGGATTTTTTTTTAAACAAAGCAGTTTTGGTTTTGATTTTGCGCTATGGAATACGGTTTATTAACTCAATTTTATTTTAGTAAAAATTTATGTTTATTAAAATAGAGGCATTTTCTTGTTGCCAAACTAGTTAAAAAATAATATTGTTTAATACTGGTTTTATTTAAAATGATAATAATTGTCCAGAGCAAAGCTAGGGATGGTAAAAAAAAAAAAGGGTTAACCAGATTTTTATACATTTTTATTGATTTAAAAAAATGTGTTAACCAGTTTTTATACATTTTTATTGATTTAAAAAAATGTTTAAAACATTAGCAAGAAATGTATCCTTTTTAAAATTTGAATTTGTTACAAATACTACTGTTACGTGTAAAAGATTATAAGAAATATATTTTGATTATTTTAAAAAAATTTTTTTTATCAATGTTAATGTCTTTTTATCGACATAAATTTTTTTTTATTCTTTTTCTATTCAGTACTATATTTGTTGATATTGAAAGTCCAAGATTTACATGCATGTATATAAATTACTTTGCAAATATTACTACTAATAAATATCGTTAAATGAGTTATTGGAAATGAACTTCTTAAAGATTAGAAGCAATACAATGTAATAAAATAATTTAGCTTTCCTAAGTTCGTCGTCACCAAACCAACCATTGTTTTTAATTTCTTTCTAAATTCTCAGATTTTGATAAACAGTCAAGTTTTTTCCTGATTATTTGTTCAATCGTATACAATATTTTTATGGATAAATTAGCAGCAGAAAAAGCTAGCGGTGAGAGAACCAGGAAAGCAAGTTCAACCTCAGAAGGAAAAATTCTAATTGCCCCACCACATAATTGAACTTGAACGCTCAATAAATGTCCAAAACAATAGCCCAGAAAACTCTTTAGCTTTAGTGATATATTTTTGAATTATTCAACTATTATAATGATTACGTCATGATATATTAAAACATATTAAACCATTTTCAAACACTTAAAAATCAAACAATCATGATTTTTAAAATCATGTTTTAAAACATTTGCTATCCCTAGGTGAAGTAATGGTCCTTTAGTAATAATAAATCTTATATGACACCTAGGATTCTTCTAAGTAAATAATGAAAAATTATATTTATAACACTGTTTATAAACATCATAATATATAATATTATTAAATATATATTACATATTTACTCTAATCCAATTTATATAATTATTATATATAATAGAGTATTATATATCATGGGTGTTAGGAATATAACATTCCTTAAATAATAATTTGATAATGCATTTTAGATTAAAGAAAGATCAGATAAGCAGATAAGGTAGTAGTAAACTTAGTATTATCTGGATAACTTCAAATATTATATAATAATTTTATTTTTGAAATAAATCATTGAATAATTTATTATTTCTTTATAAAATACTGTTGATTGATTTTAATGTTTATAAAATCTATGTTTTAGATTTATTAAAATATTTAAATAAATTTTGAATAAAAAACCTTTCTACTATTATAATAAAATATATTTTTTAAAGACAAATTGATGCTATAAATTATCATAATAGATATTATAAATTCATGAGGCAAAACTAAGAAAAACATTTGAGTTTATTTAAATTATTGGCATTTAAAAGTTTTGTAAAGATCTAAGAATAATACTTAAAATTTTCTTGTAATATTCAACTAATTCATTATCATGCATATATTTAGTTAGTTTTAATAACCAAAATTTAAAAAAAATCTGCTGACAACAATGATGTAGGCTACGCAAGCTACATAGAAAAATGAAGAATTCAAGATGATAGTCACTAACGCTAACAGGACCCCGAAATACGTACGTATCTACGTACGTACAAATAGGTAAGGTTTACAAAAATCTTAATATATTACTAAAAATAGAAAGATTTACAAAAAATACAGTACGTACGTACGTACATACGTATACGTATCCTCTCAAATCTAATACGTATGCATAGTGGATAGCTTTTGAGGATTAAGATACCGATACTAATGCTTACTGGTCACATGATTATAAATAAATATAATTGGCTATGTAGACTATATTTATTATCCACTCAGTCACACAAAGCCAATCAAATTGATTTATATTACCTGACAAACCCAATATTTTATAGTTATTGGATCAGTTTTGGGAGGGTATACTGTAATCAAAAATTTATATGAACAATAAGCAAATTAACACCTTACCTATCTATTTATCTATTGATATTTCGGGGTTCTATGCTAACATTCTAACTCTACAGTATCAAACGCGCATAGATTATTTTTATTAAAATTTTCTTTTTTGGTTTGTATTACTCATGCAAATCAATAAGTTCCATGTCCTTTGGTCAAAATGAGTATTTCACCCTACTGCCAGTGCATGAGCAAGTATGAGTTATTACAAACAAGTAAAACGAAACGGAAGTTACATGAATTGCTAATAATTGTGCTCAATTAGAGTTTTTATATGGTCCATTTTCGTTTCTTCATAAAACATCTTATTTTACAGACTGACGTGTTTATTTTTTTACAGACGAACAAGTTCATTTCATAGACAGTTCATTTCACCGATAGCTCATTTCATAAACAGTTTGTTTCATTTCATAGACAGTTTGTTTCATCTATACATGTTGGCTAAACTAAAAATCTCAAAATCCCACCCAAATCCCAAATCCCAAATATAATAAAATTGTCCCAAATCCCAAATCCCATCCCAAATATAATAAAATTCGTCCCAAATCCCAATCCCAAATCCCAATAGTTTGCCAGCAAGTATAGTTTCATCGATATCTCATTTCATCAGAAAAGTAAGTTTCCGGTAAATTGTCTAAGTGACTTTTGATGAAATAATACGGATCCATTATTTTGGATAAAAAATAATTATTTTTATAAATATTTACATGAATAGTTTTTACAGGATACTAGAATATAAACTTTATTATATTTTTTGTTAATACATACAACTTTTTCGATAACGAATTGATGGTTCTGAAAGACAAACGAAAGCTTATCATAGAAGATTAACTATGTTTTCTTAAAAGTATATGGCATTTTCTATACCGAAAAAATATACATTTTAAAATTTTGGGTTCATTATATCCAGAACCGATCGTAATTACATCACAAACACCATGGTAAAAAAATACATATGATTCAAAAACTGTACATAAGCAAATAAAACTATCCTTAACGAATAAAATGTGTAGAAAGATTAAGTGAAAAGAAGTTTTTTTAATAGCGCACTAACCTACAAATTATTATTATAAATGGTAATGTAGGAACGACTTCTTATTCAAGTGTAGTCTCGCAGGTCCAGCAGCAGTTACAATGCTATCATGAAAATAATAAACCACTATCCACCCTTCTGCATAATTATCAAATCCTCGTAAGGGAAAGTCATAAGGTTGGAGGTACAAATTCAATTCAGCTTGGTTGCCCTTAAACGTCAAAGCTTTTGAAAATAGCGCGGTTAAATCATGTCTCATACTATTATCAGGATATAATAAATAAAAGTAATAATTTTCTTGATTATTATCTGGCATGTTAAAGAACATGCCTTTTACAAATGTTGAACCATCAGGCGTTTCGCAAGATGAAATAAATCCATAAAATTGTTTAGAATACAAGTCATTAATGGTAAGCGGATTCGAATTTACAAGGTCTGCGTGAACGCAAATCGGAGGTCTTGGTGCCGCCTCTATCATTAATGAGTTGAGAAAAATTATCAAGAAGGCAATATAAAAGGCTTTGTGAAACATGTCGCGGCTAATGTTTAGATAAACACAATGTATGTTTTGGTCTTGTAAAAAGGTTTTACGTACAAATATACCTAATTTTTCACTGATTAAATAAACCAATAAATACTTAAACCGAATTTGTTTTTAATTTTTTAGGACAAAAGAGAAACGACCCATCTCGAGAATTTCAGTGAAGAAAGAATAAGAACCATTTTTTAAGACATCAAATCTTTATGCTGAAACATTAAAGCATATGGTAGTGTAGACTATATTTACCCTTTAAGTAGGGATACGTAGTATCATGACTAATTAATTAGGTAATTGTATTTTTTTATCAATAAGTTGGCTAATTGTTATAAAAGATTAAACGTTGCCAATTGTACACTATTTTAACAAAGATACTCGAATATGACCTATCACCATATGATATTAATAAAAATTTCAACTAAGTTTGGCTAAACTTTGGGTAATCACTGTTTATTTGGTTAAAGATCGGAAACTTGTACGAAATTTTAGTTTGAGACGTGTCAAACTAGTCTAGCTTTTATGCGGTATATAATTGAAACAATGATGTTAAATGACCTACAATACATATCAAATTATAGCGTATCACCATAAGATCGACGAAAAAAATATACATAATTTTAAATATGAAAACGCATGTATGAATTAAAGTTGTGACCCGAAACCCGAAACTATATATAAAATCCCGAAACCGAAACCGAAACCCGAAACCTTTTCCGAAAC